CATTCCTGCGGACGTACTAGGAAACATTTCAGTGTTTATCTTTAGGAAACAGAGCTCCTCAGTTTTATTTGAAAGTATCAAGGACAGAGAGAAATCAGACAGACACCGTTACTTCTTAGCTATAAAACTGGAATAATCCAGTGACTGAACTACTAACGCTTCCCTTTAATTGAACAATCTTCCAGCAGGCTCAGGCAGTTTAATATTCTATTCACTTTCTTTACATTCTTTCTCGGGGAACGAGCCTGAATAGGTATCAGAGGGATGCAACTGCCACAAAACGACTAAGAGAGCATTTTACCCTTTTCCCTGAACTCCCCCATACCTGTGTAACACAAACAACTGACTTCGAGCAGGTTTGCTCTTGAAGTCCCGGGCTATCAACACAGCGATGTCTCTAAGCAGGTTCAGGTTATTCTGAAAGAAAAGCAAACAAGCTGTCCTGCAGATGGAGAAGTCGGTCTGAACACCGAGCTGTGTTGGCAGAGACGGGAGCAGTTTTCATAACATAAAACCTGACGTCTATGGTTCTACTCCCAGTCACGACCACAGCTCAGGTCTGCAGGAAGCAGCCGCAGCTGCCTTTCGCAGCCATCCGCACACCTTCTGAAGCAGTTTCACACAACTCTGCAGTCTCTTCACAGCCTCTACATGCTCACCCGGCCCATTTCTGAAAGAACAAGGAGAATTTGGGTCGCCACTCTGAAGGACAAAGAAAAGATTTCTTAAAGTGGCAAAGGCAGATAACATCACAGAAAGCACCACGCAGATGTAGCCTGAGGCTTACGTGGTATTTGTCAGAAGGAATAGTAAAGATGAAATAACCAAAATGGAAAGGGTTTTACTTGAGCAATGAGGTTAGAGCCTTCTCAGTACTGTGACTTTGTTCGATCGACTTCAGCACTCTGTTTCCTGCCAGGAAAACCAAGTTGGTTTTGTTCTTTTTCCCTTTTTCTGTGCCAAGCAGTTTAATGACCTTCAAAAGAAAATCACCCTGGTCAGAAAAGAACAGTACTTTTCCTATACTCGCACAGGCGGTCAGTTCCTATCAGACTATTCCTCCTTGTAAATATTGGCTCTCTGCCAGTGAAAATAAACTGATTAAAATCTGCCATAAGGTAAAATAAAAAAAAAAAAGGATGGTGATACAGCAGAATTGATACAATTTGCTAATCATGGGCTGCACTCCGCAGTGCATCTGGATGTCCCTGCTGGGATATAGACTCCAGCAAAAGACTGAAAAGACAGAAACACTTCCAGGCAGTTCCAGAATTTTACCTCCACATCCCTGCACAGAGGATTTCTCATTCACGACAACACACTCCGAACTATCAGAGCTTTAAGCAGAGGGAACAAAAAGCACCACCAAACTGGCAATACAGCACGTGCCCTCCGCAGAGGTACCGGCAGTTCAGAAAACGTCACTGCCACAGACGAGGGCTGAGTTCTGTTACAAAGAATGAAAGAAAGGAGCCCGACTGACCGGGCAAAGACTGCCGGCCTGCGTGCGGCCCTGCTGGGGCTCACCCAGCACATGGCTTCCGCTGCTCCCTTTACCATTGGGACAATTTCCAGCAGACCCTGGATCTCAGGGACTTCTGCTGCGCGAGGTGTGAACGCATGGAGCGGGGTTCCCGAGGGCAGCGAGGCCGCAGCCCCCACCTGCAAGTCGCTCAGGTTGGAGACGTGCGTCCCACAGCACATGTTCGAGTCTATGCCTTCGATGTCAACAACTCGCACCGGCCCCACGTGGTCGTCTGGCAAACCACGGCTTCTCACCTAGCGAAAGGACGACAACGGCAAACAAGGGCACCCCCATGCCACAGTTATTTTGGCCCCACTGATATCACCAGTTCTCTCCCCACCACTCACCGTTTCAATTTCAGGGTCATCTGCAGCCAGCTCCCTCACCATCACAGGCACCCTCGCCCGGATCTTCTCATTCACACTCCTCTCCAGGGCCTCTACCTGCTCCGCTGTCATGGAGGGGGTGTCCAGCTCAATGACACTTCGCTGACGGCCCAGCTCCCTGCACCGACGAAGAACGCCTGCTGCTGTAGCTACGACCAGCTGGAAGGTCGCTCTGTGCGGCACCAAGTGCCACCCCACCACTGGGAATGTGGTGACTGAAACAAACCTTACTTGCCTCCTCCCCCCATCGCTTACAGAGCACCAGATGCGCAACAGACACTCGGAGGAGGAGGAGAGAGCAAACGCTCTGCACAGCTTCTCTCCAGTTCAGTCACCTCGCCCAGGCCCTCTGAGCCCCAGCGAAACGTCCGAGGCCAAACTGCTTCTGGTTGACCCATGTTCAGCTCCCTGCGGCCCAGCACGGTGGCACACGCCAGACAGGGTACGGCTGGGGTCAAAAAGAGCCCCTTCCCTGCTCACCACGAAGTTGTCTTGAATCCAAACATCTGTTCTGCGATGGCGGTGATGAGATGCTGTCCTGATGTTCAGCTCCCTGCGGCCCAGCACGGTGGCACACGCCAGACAGGGTACGGCTGGGGTCAAAAAGAGCCCCTTCCCTGCTCACCACGAAGTTGTCTTGAATCCAAACATCTGTTCTGCGATGGCGGTGATGAGATGCTGTCCTGGAAGAGACGTGCGAGCCACAGCTTGGAGCACCACCGGGCACAGGGCAGAGCTCCTCACTCAGGCTGCTTCTCCCGCTGACGCTCCCCGTGACGTCCCCAAACGCCCAGCTCGGCGCCGAGGGGCTCACACCGCTGTCCCGCACCCAA